ACATGCAGTTCACCATCTTTGTTGCTCCATCCTCTAAGAACATAACTCATATCCCAAAGGAAAAAACTGTTTGCCACATCATGTAAGTTTGTTTCTCACATCATGTAAGTCTTCATTTTAATCTTTTCAGATTGTGATGTTGTGTGGTTTTGGTTTACTTTTGCTATGAAGGCAACAAAGAGATTTTGTGTTTAAAATTTGAAGACGTCAGATACAATTTCTTAGAAAATAGGAAGTTTGGAGGGGGTGGCCAGTATTTTTTATTTTTAACATAAAATTGCTTTGAGCTTTTCCCTGGTATGTGTCCTGGTTTCGGCTGGAATAGAGTTAATTTTCTTCATAGTGCTGTGTTTTGGATTTAGTATGAGAAGAATGTTGATAATACACGGATGTTTTCAGTTGTTGCTGAATAGTCTATAGTCAAGGACTTTTTAGCTTCACAAGAAGCTGGGAGGGAGCACAGCCAGGACAGCTAACCCAACTGGCCAACGGGGTATTCCATACCATATGATGTCATGCTCAGCACATAAATAGGAGGCGGGGTCCGGCAAGTAGTGATCGCTGTTTTGGGGATGGGCTGGGGTCGGCCTGTCAGGTGGTGAGCAATTGCACTGTACATCACTCATTTTGTATATTCTACCACTATTATTATTATATTTTCCCTTCCTTTTCTGTTCTATTAAACTGTCTTTATCTCAATCCATGAATTTTCTTTTTTTTTTCCTGATTCTCTCCCCCATCCCTCAGGGGTGGGGGGGGAGGGAGTGAGCAGCTGTGTGGTGTTTGGCTGCCTGCTGGGTTAAACCACAACACATGGCATCTGTAGAAATTATTCTAATATTCAAAAGTGCTTCTATTACCTTCCTCAGAGCTTTGATTTATTCTGGATATTTTTACCATACTGAAATCAGTTTTCCTCCCTCCAATTATGTAATGGAGATCTTCATTTTGCTGATGAATGTGTGATCGGGCAGGTGCTCCAGTCCTTACTTAAGCAGTAATTCCCACAGCACTGACAGACACCTTGACTCTGTGGGGAACTGTAGGATATGGTGCAGGAGAAGTGCGACATGGATAGTCAGCTCTGTAGCAAGCCAGAGTCCTGCTCGCAGGCATGCTGAACCATACGATGGCCCTACCCACGTAGATGCCAATGTGTTTGGCTGGTTTGGATGCTGGGAGAATAGTCCCAAACTGATCAGTCAGATCAATTTTCAGGTTCTTTGTATATATTTTTCCCTTTTCCCACCGCCAGTAGTCTACATTGGTTCAAATAATCATACCCTCAGAAGATGGTAGTGCTTTGGCTTTATGTACATATAGGGCTAAAATGCTGCTTTCATAAGGAAAAATGAGGCCTTCTTTCACTGTTTAGCTATAAAATTCTACACTAAATTTAAACTAAAAGGTGATTAAAACAGCATTGTCACTTTTAAATTATGGAGTTTTAATACTTTGAATGTTCAAAGCCACTGTTTCTTTTAATATAGTTTTCTGATTTTTTTTTCCCCCCACATGCATCCAGATTCCTCAGAAACAAGAGGCAAAACAGGTGTTCATTTTAAAGAAAACCAGGTGAAACAAGCTGACAGATCCTGTTAGGATGGATGCTTAGGTAATCCTTTCCTTGGGTAATCTCCACTCCACCAGAGAGTGGAACTTTGAAACACAAACCTGATAACAGTAGTGTTGACTGCATAATCAACAAAAAGAAATTTAACTTTACTGTCTGTTAGGGAACAATTCTCTTTTAAGCAAATAAATTGAAAACCTCTTTGAAATCACCATATTCTAAAATACAGCTTTTGTTATTATTTCTTAATTTCTGCAATACTGTAATTTACTTGTTTTTATAACATTGCCTTGCTTCCTTTTCAGCTTCATTTCTTCCTAGAGCTGGTTTACTATTTTATCAGTGAATTTTTCTGACACAGACATTACTGATACATTAGAAGCCACATGGTATAATTGTTGCATGTGAAATTTTCACTAAATCTGGTAGTGTACTTCATGTCATATCTTGACCTATTGTGCAAAAGCATACTGGTCTTCACAACTGCTTTTCTAAATCTATTCCCTGCCCTGTGTTTTCAGTATTTTTTATCTAGAGCAAAGGTGATCCTGGATTTCATTTCCTTCCTACACAAATGTGTAAGCTTCAAGTTTAAAAAAAAAAACCCCAAAAAAACTAATGCCTATTCTGAAAAAGGTATCTAGACTCAGTAGTTTAGTTTTGTTTTCTGTGTAAAGAATGAAGGGAGTTTCTTGCATTAGTCTCATCTTAAATTGTTGTAATTCTGGATTTAAATGATTTTACCCAATGAAGAAATTCAACAACATGGATTTAAAGTGTCATTTTAAAGGCAGTCTTTGCAATGGGACGAGTTTACAGCATGATAGATTTTTTTTGATATGTTTTGGAACCCACCTGTGACTGCAGTCTGTGAAGCTTATAAATATGTCAGTAACGTTGGTCATTACTGTTGGTCATTGAATAGTGAATTTGATTTTGTAGGGATAAAGTGATGTTAAGCTTAACTGAGATTTAATAGTAACTGGAAAGCACTAGTTGTATAGCTTGATAAATTTCTTCATTCAAATAGAAATATGACTTTTACAGAAGAGTCAAACAATCATTTGAAGACAAAGGATTCTTTAATATTACGGGGAAATATCTGTATTTGACTAGCTGTGCTAGACAATGAAGTCACACATTAGCAAACAATCTGAAATTATTTTTGAAAATGATGAATCTATAGTTTGACAGTTGCAACTACAGTTGTAGCAGTAGACACAATTACAACCTTTTCTGCATGTTCCCCTCACTCACCACATGGGGTACAACACCTTAAAGAAAATGCAACCTCATTTTATTCACAATGACTGTTACCTGATGGATTCCTAATATAAAAAGCACCCTTTGATTTAATTTTTGTATTTCAGCAATGAAGGAGTACTTAACCCTCACTCTCTAATTTAAAGAGGGAGTAGATTTGTCTAAGATTCCATGTTAAGGCACAATTTATGCACAACATATTGATGCAGTTATACTACATATTGTAAGATATTTAAACTGTGAAATATCGGCAAAAATCCTTAGGACACAGCAAAAGATTTTAAATATAGTAGAGTGGCAGTTGAGCCAATCCTTCAGATTCCAATCATCAGTCATGGGGCTGCACGTTCAGTTCTTACCTTTGCTCTCCAACTCTGTATTAACAACTTTTACATACAAGGTGGTACAATTTATGTGCTAAAAGATAGCTAGTCTTTCATTTGACAGAAGCAACACATCAGATACTGACTGCTGGAAAATTCTTTCAAAAACTATGGATTTTTATTTCTGAAATCCAAGTCTCATTCCCCAAGCTCCACAGGGTTAAACAAAGTAAAACATTTTCAAAACAATACCTGCAAAAAGTAAAACATTCTGTTCCAGCATCCAAGTATGTACAAAAATGTTTTTGTACAGGTTACAAAACAGGTAAGCTTTTTCCTCCCCCTTAATATATTCTTACACCAGAAACCCTGTAACAATACTCTAAAACACTGGCAGAATGAAATTTTAACTTTTTAAAGGGGTGGGGGGGGAGACGGGAATTTTGTATTTCTAATCTCCATCCCACCTTTCCCGCACGGTGGTATTTTCTAGTTAAATGAGCGCATTGCTTACCCATATATTGAGGGTTTTGTTCAATAGGGTCTGCTAAAAGAGACTTTTGTGTTATTTCCAGTTTCGTAACAGTTCCTCTAGAAATAGTTCTGCCAATTTTCAATTGCAACGTCTTTACATTTTATGTAACTATCACGATTTTAAAATCTATTTTAAAGCAGCAGCAAAAAAATGTAACAACAGATAAAGTAGATTTCTGCTTGTGTGCCATCACTTAAGCTAATAATATTATAACCAAGGCATCTTTTCTACAGGTGAGTAATTCTGATTATAAGAATTATTAATAAGAATAATTGCTAATAAGAATAAGATTTGCCTTATGATTAAATTCCACACTTTAAATACACAGCTTTAAAATTTAAATATTCTTAGTCTTCTATTGCCATAATTTTATTTCCATTTAAGTACAGCTTTAGTAAATAAAAATATATGCACAAGTATTTACTTCTGGTCTGTCATACTATATGTATATTTATAACTAATACAAAATGTAAAAAGAAAACAAGTATTTTAAATGTACATAACATATTTAAATAATTTCAATACATTTGCTGTTTGCGCCTTACAAACCCTTTTTTAAAAAAAAAAAAAAAGTTTTATAAATATATTTTAGCTTCCAGTGAAAGTATAAGGGGGACAGTTGCCAAAGATGAACTTATTAGAAAATAGAATTTTATAATCTAGGTATTCAAACCTGTTAAAACAAAACATTAGTAAACATCTTTGTACTGCTATTAAAGCACAATAACTAACGGATGAAAAAAATCATGTAAGCACTTTCTAAATTTTACTTTTGCTATAGAATCCTGTGTGTAAAAATTAGTTAAAATTAAAAAGGGGGACACATGATGTGAAACAGCCACAGGATTCCAGTCATTCTAAAAACAGGTTGCAGTGACTATCAATAAAGTAATTCTCTTATTATGTATTTGAAAGTGTGTTTATGGATTTCACAGTTTGTTATCAATATTTTAATAATGTGCAGATAGTTGCTTACTTCCTTTGCAAGGCATCTGTTTACACAGAGTCGACTGAAATATGTCTGTATTGTCTGACAACAGTATTCTTATTTAAAAAAGGACATGGCTGTCTATGAAGTTAGGACTTTTTTTTTCTTTGGATTCTCAAATAACTTTTTCTTTGGATTATCAACAAACATTTGTATAGAAATCCTCTTCTCGTTCTCATTTTACAATTTTCAAAGTCCAAGTAATTGCCCTTCAGGAGTCAACTGTCATCTTTCTGTCCTTTGACAAGCAAGGTTAAATCAGTATTAACCCCCCGAGTGTTATTTTAAGCACTACGAAGTACAGAGAAAAACACCTCATCAAAATGGGTTAAGTCGTATTCCTGTTCCTAGTGGTGAAAAAGGATTCACTTTGGCCCACATCAAAGCATCATTCAGTGAAATAGCAGATTTTCCATCTTCAAGGAAGAACACTGGACCCTGTAAAGCAAAAATATTTGGAGAGGGAAAGAATAAGAAAGTACATGTGTATTGTGCAAAGGCTACCACAACAGAAAGCACTTTTTTTTTTATCTGGGAAGAACATGAAAACCTGATTTACAGCTATCATCTACGTTTGTGCAAAAATTGTACCCTGCCAGCTTAAAGCTTTGATAATAGTTACACATTATAAATTGAATGAACTTGTTATGTTCCAAAATCTGGAGACCCAGCATTTCATAATCCTTAAATTTTTTGTTTTATTTTTAATAATTGTGGTATTTTATATATGTTCATCAATTATTCCAGAGTTAAATTTAGCCTGAATTAGAAACTGAGGTAATAAGTTTTTTTCCTTCAGAATACTGTACATATTTCATGTGCCTGTCATTATCTGTGCTGATCTGTGTGTCTCCCCATCTACAAAAAACCCAATATAATGCCTCCATGAATTGTTTGAAAACATGGAGTCTACACGCAGTCTACAGAATAATTTCAAATGTTCACTTTGAAAAGGACAAAATACTAATTTATCTGATGGAAGAAAAGCTATTTGCTAATTTCTTCATTTGACAAAATACAGTCTCAAAGCTGCAATTCAGTTTAAGTGCCTTCTTAAAGAGTTATGCTCTCCAAACTTGCTACTTAAAACTTGGAAACCCACACAATCAGGCTACTATACCTTAGTATTAACTAATGAGCTGATCTGCATGCCTAAAGCTACGACTTCTAATGTTCACTAATCCAGAAATAAGGATATCGTAGATGACAAGCTGGTGACACCATATTTGCTATTCTTGTTGAACAGATTATAACAATGGCAGCTTTACATGGCTGTTAGCAAATGTTGAGAGTATAGCCATAGCCAGAGACCATTGGTCTAACGTGGAAGTGTTGGCAGCAAGTTTTTTCAGACTTGATGGTGTGCAGTTGTGAATTTTGTTTACCTCAAAAATCCCGCTAGCATTTTGCAATCTCCAATTTCTGATGCAAAACTATCCCTTTTAATCCCTGATCAACCCCGTTACTCTTTGGGCTGGCATCTTGCACTGGACAGAAGAAACAGACTCAGCCTCATATAAGAGAGTAAATTCACACTGAGGTACTGTCTGGAGACAGGAGCCTGAGAGTAGTGTTTTCAGGCTCTGTCAATTTTCCCTTTATGAAAATAACAACATATACCAAAGAGGTGTTACAAGGACTAGTATGTTTTGATCATAAAGTTCTATGTCAGTGATGAATAAATATATTAGAATATTTAGTCTTCTAATACCTGGCTTTAATTAATCATGAATTACAAGTTTTATAGTATGCATTTCCATAATGATAAATACTACAACAGAGTAATGTTAGTATGTGGTTGAAGATAAATAATTTCCTGGGTTTTATTCAAGCTGTGGTGAGGTAGTAGGCAATAAGTTACCTGCACTTTAGACAGAACATCTGGCAAAGGAAATCTGTCCTTCCCATGGAAATTAAAAAGTTTTGGACTGGGAAACTGGGCAATTATTTGATTGGACAATTCTTCTTTATATAGCCTTTCTTATATAGCAGATGTCAGCAATTGTCCTCTTTAACTTCTGCTACTGTGACAACAGGGAAAACATTTTTCCTCCCAAATGATGGGAGCAACCTTAGATTTATGGCAACCTCACAACTAGTCAATGCTATCACTAAGAACACCTCAGCTCTCTGAAACTGTACCTGTATCCTTAGCCCTGTCAAACAAGAGATGTGAACATCTGAATGACTAGGAAGATTTGATCCTGTGACATAGTCTGGCCCAACCATTCCTTTCAGAGGCTCCTCCTGCATTCGTGATATGAGTATTGAATACACCGTTCTCTGCGATTCAGATGCCGGGGTGCATGGCAATTCATCAGTAGGCCTATGAAAAAAAGACACTTGTTTTTCAACTATAAATCTTAATTTGTGTTAGAAATTAAGAGCCACAAAGTACTCATTTTTTACATTCATATTCAGATTTTACAAAGGAAATAAATACTGTATTTATAACTAAACATTTGAATACTAATAGTCTCATTCATGGTAATTTTATATTTTTCCACCTACTTGTTTAATTGAGTACAAGCTCTCCATGCATCTAGTTCCTCAGAAAGCTGTTCAATTTTCAAAGGTACAGATACTTCCCGTCTTTTTAAAAGCTGACTGAAAAGGAACGCAAGTAATTAAAGTCCAAATTAATTCTAACAAGGAATATTTTCTTAAAAGAAAAACAAGATAGACAGTAGTAATATAAAAATATTTTTGACTGGATATGGACATAACTTTATGGAATTAAATTGATCCTTCATGATAATCACTATATTAAACCTTAGAAATATTAAATTACTAGATACAGAAGAATACCTTTTCATTTTAATTATCGCTATTTACACCTTATTTAATCTTTCTTGTCTTTGGCTCTATTTTTTTTTCTTTGAGGCTGTTTTATATTTTAAGGCTATATGCATTCTTATTTCTTAAATATGACAACTTTACTAAAATTAACAGCCTGTTTTGCCTATATATAGTAGACATAAAAATACAGTTAAAGTAACATGGTTCAAAACATGCTCTGGGACAGCCTTGTTTCACCTGATTACTTGTGGAAAACAGTTTCAAAACCCTTGCAGTGGATACATTTTTTATTTATCAAAATATAATACAAGGGGCAGTTATCACCTGACCTAATTCAGCAAACTTCCATTTGTGTTGGGATGCCTTAAAAATGTCCAGCTTAAGCATTTAAATATCTAGTTTAAGATGGGCTGGAATCTAAAAATCTATGAATTCTGAAAATATTGGCCAATCTGAGGAAAAAAAAAATTTAGAATAGTATTGTTCTGTGGTTTCTTAAATCCCAGGAAAACTTAGAGGTTGACAGCCGAAGTATCGCAAACTGAGTTGGTTTGTTACTAGTCTATTAATTTCCGTATCAGAATAGCCCTTCTGTAAAAGCTTATATTTCATCTTTTTGTTTTCCATACATAAGTCTGGTGGCTCAGAAAAGGAAAAAAAACCAAACCAAAACCAAACAAAACCAAAAACCAGTCCTTTTCCCTATCGTCTCACCAAGTTTCGGAGATGAGAATGGCTAAGAAAAAAGGAGTGCTGTCAAGACATCTAATGGAGAGGAGTCGAAGAAAAGGGGCAGACACACAGATCTAAGACACATTAAATTTATGTTGTTTGATTATCCTTGGTAGGCAATTCTGATAAAATATCAGGAGGTGTAGGAAAGCTCACAATTCTAGTAAGGTATGAAAGGAGCGAACAACATATATGCAACATTTATTCTTGAGGAAGAGATAAATGAGCTGAAATTGTAAGCAAAGCTACAGTGGTCAGTTAGAGCAGCTAGTGTAGCAATCACAGCTAGAACAATGCCAACACAGCTTGCACTATGAAATCAGTGACATCTTGGAGCTGGCCTTGCTACCCAGCAAGTCAGGTAACAAAACCAAAAGGATTTAACAGTCCCAAATTGTGAGGGAGAAATGGAAATTAGTCAGCTGGATAGTAGTATCGTTACCAAACCAGACAGGAAGACTAAACAATCATGGTTATACTCTGAGGAAGGAATACTAGAGTACTGTATGTAAGCCTATTTTATTTACCAGATAAGATAATGATCTTATTGATCTTGATCTTTCTCCTTTCAAGTCCAAGTTGGTCGGTTCAAGTCCAAGTGGGGTCAGGGCAAGTCAAGTGTACCAAGTGAAATCAAGTGGGTCAGGTCAAGTGGATTGGGCCAGGCTGGATTGGGCTGGGCCAAGCTCAGTCTGGTCAAGTCAAGTGGGCTGGGTCAAGTCAATCCAAGTCTGGCCAAGTCAAATGGGTTGGGTCAAGTCAAGCCAAGTCCAGTTACGTCATGTGGGCCAAGTCGGGTCACGTGAAGTGAGTGAGGTGAAGTCAATTGGGTCGGGCTGAGCTGGTTCAAGTCAGTCAAGTCTAGTCAGGTGGGCCCAGCCGGGTCAGGTCAAGTCAGGTGACTGGTTGGGGTTGAGCTGGGCCAAGTGGGCAGGACCAGACCAGGTCAGATCAAGTGGGCCAGGTTGAGTGTATTAATGCCTGGGAATATTAGCTCACTGAGTAACAGAAGGTCAAGCCAGGTTTCTTGGTGGGAATCAAGCTAGTGCCCAGTTATGAACTGTAAATTCAAAGCTTGTCCTTATGGCTACTGAGCAAGTCTTGGCAAATGGTCTACACATAGATACAAAATTAGAACTGTTACTGTCAACATATAATCATGCATGGAGGTAATGCTCATGTACTTCTAAAAATTGTTTTTCTCACAGAACTAAGAGTTTGACTGAAATCCTGGATTCACAACTTCTTGCATCACCTCGGAAACTTCTATGTGTACAATGCATAAAGAAAGTAAAGAAGGTTCTATATGCAGGCATGGATATACCCTTATAACTTTATAACAGAACTGGGAACTCAGATTTTTTTTTTTTTTTTTTTTGGAGGCGGGGGGAAGGGGGGAGTGGGGACAACGTATGGCATAAATCATAACAGGGACTGAGATTTCTCAGTGTTACTGAAAACACAATATTACCTTGTATACTCATAAAGTGCAGGTACAATGCTGTTGTACTGTCTTCTGATAGCAAGTAAAGCACCAACGTAACCACACAAAATCAGCAACTCATTCCGAAATCTATAAATGGACAAGTATTAATCATGAACAATTACAAGCATTTGCAAAAACATTAAAAAACTCACATTCAAATTATAATTTTAAAACCTAATTTATCCATCCATCTTTTGTGGAGAATATATGTTTGCTGATTATGTTTACTTTCTACGTGATGTAATTGTTGAAACAGACTCCATCTGCTCTATATTGATCTCAATTATTAAATTTTAAATAGCATGTACAGCGCATAGTTATTAAGGACAATCATGTAAAGTTACAAAAACAATTTCACTCAGACCTTTTAGTGTGATAAAACTCTAAATGTAAATAAAATTGCCCCACATATTAGTGTGGACTTCAGTTTCGCCAAGTTTCCCCACAGGCCACAGATAAGAGTTAAGGTTTTTGCTCCTTTTAGTTCTTCACACGCACACCTGTGCAGGCACCCAGGCCTAGCTTCAACCACCTGTCATAAAGGTGAATCAAAGCTATCCAACTATTTTAGAATCAATTCTGAGAGTGACAGCTCAAATTTCCTTAACACTTTAACAAAAAAACCCATATTATTTGTGGTACTACTGCTCTTATTCTTCAGGAAACTGAAACCAGAGCTGATCAAAGTGAGATTCTTCAAATAAAACCAACATTGATTCACCCATTGTAAATGCCCCACAGAGAAAGAAGCAGTAAAATATCTTTTTTCTTCTTGCTAAACCTTGAAAATTTAGGAAAATTCCAAATTCTGTTCTCCAGATTGGGAACTAGCCTGCTTGTTGCAATTTTTTTGTACCCCTCTTCTGGTAAACATAAAATGATACTAACAGTGTCAGCTACATTTTTTTAATTCCAAAAGTTTCCTTTAATGAAACTTCCACTTTTGTAAGTAAGGAAAATATACTCACTCACTACATTTATGCAACACTAGTCGTTCAGTGCGTATGTAACTTAGAAGATCAAGATATGGACAGACTGAATCTAAAGTCCAATCTGAGCCACAAAGCTGTTCTGTTGAAAAACAAAACCAAAAATATCTCAAGAGGCAAGCTATACAAATGACTTATGCTTTAAAAGGTTTCTTCATCCGAGTACCTACCTTTCACATACTGAATGCCAATAGGGAGAGCCTTTTCAGGTTCTGTGCTTAACAGATAGTACTTTATAGTTTCGAATATATCCCCATCTGCCTGAATTGTCTCTGCCAATCGCATACATTCTTCTACATCAGGAAGATTACACTGGAAAACAAAGATTTTGCCAAAGAATTATTGTAATGTTCAAACAATTCTCTAAGATGCCAAGAAATACTGAAGTTTGCACATAACACTAAGATTAAACTCTCTCTGAATGAAGAGTCATTGTTTGAAGGACATACCTGCACATAATGCACATCAAGAAAGCCATCTAGACCAGAGAACAACACAGGAGGAGAAGGTTCTGTAACTTTAATTTAAGCAGTATCATTGCTAATGTTTTTGTGAACTTTTTACTACTGCTTAATAGATGTGCAGTCTGAGTCGGACATTAAGAGAGTTAGTGGAGCAGACCTTTCTGCTGCTAAGAGGAAAGGGGAGATTTTAGGAGATTACAGACATAAAATACAAACCAATTCAGGATAGTACAGAAAGCCGATCTGCCAAGACATGATTAGGCTGCAATTCAGCGATGAGGAGGTTATAAATCATACTTATATGATTTATAAGTAATTCTGAAGATCATAAGCTACTTCAGGAAGTAACCTGTGTCATGGAAAGACTACACAAGGAGTAGAATTAAAGAACTAAAGTTCTGCTTGTGCAATACTGAAAATAGAGTCAAATGAAGACTAAAAGAGCAAAAAAGGATATGTAACATATAAGACAGTTAGTGACAAATTCATCCTACAGATTTATTTGGCCTTAAATTTTCTGAAATTAGTAAACAAATCAATACATGACCTCTTACTGGTATTCAGGTAAATTCTTTTTCATTGTACCTTTTCATGCAGGTCATTTATTTCTGCTATGCATCCAGGATAAAAAGCACATAGTTTTACTAACTGCAGTTTATTATCAGGAATCATCATAAGAAGATCAGCTGCTAAATCCCTGTGCAAACAAAAGATGAGATGTAGTTACTCTTGATGGTTTGTAATAGGAGGAAACTCTATTTTGTCTTTTACATTCCTTTTATAAAGAAGAGTTTACTGAAAAGAAAATACTATTTCCAGAGAAAAGCAGAAGCAATCTCAGTCTCTAAGACTATTTTGGTGCAATAAATGAGGCTTAATCTATTCATCTGTTTTGGGAAGTCGTGTTAATTTTCGGTTGCTTTAGTTGGTTGAATTAAACAGCTGTGCAATCCTCAAGCATCAGAACCACCTCAAAGTGAGATGGAAAAATATGTGAGCAGGGATGGGAAGGGAGAATAGGACCTATCCAATGGGAAAGAAGGAAAGATGTTAATGTGGCTCTGTGTCATGAAATCATCCTCAAACTTCCAGGCTTTTAGAGCTCCATGACATCAGCATAAAGCATCTCTCAGTCATCCAGAATGGCTATTGCTTCTGTGACTTTACAAAAGAGAGATTATACAAGGAAAGAATGTGATACCTATTTTCATCCTTCTGAAAGGAAAATTGTGTTTTAGCAAACTGACATTTCTGAAATACTCCTAACTTTTTACCATTTGTTACCCCCTTCTTAACACAACAAGCAGCTGGAGGGAATACATGTATTCAAAATAGAATAATTTTGAAACAATTATCCTATTGAGCTTTTAACAACTGATTATTCTGGTTGTTCTGTGACTATTCATGCAGACATAATTTGTCCTGTGACTTACGAGACTGACTTGCCCCTGTGTAAGGCAAAAACTCCTACTGAGTTCCCCTGGATTTTCAGAATGCAGTCCTTGGCTTAAAAATGTTCGAGTAAGCTACCGTCCAATATTTGCAACTGCTTTCTATCCCACTTTCAAGTATTGATCACAATTAAAAAATTAGAACACTTAGTTTAAGCTTATTTTTAGCATTAGTAAAGTTACGCGCTTTTCAAATCTCTCTTTCTATAAAAAGCAAAATACCTGTATCCAAGTGATGGAAAGCTAAAAGGAAGACATTGAAACAGTAATGAACAAAACTTTGTTTTGTATTCTTATTTTACAGAGGAAAAATCTAATAGAAAATAATTAAACTACAACAGCAAATCTAAGGATCAGGTTAACCGACTTTGTTTAACACAAAAAAGTATCTTTCCAATGCCTTTTGACAACCTAAAGCAGCTAATGCCAAACGGTCTTTGGAAAACCTGTATACTATTACCACGCAATAGCCACTTTTCCAAGATACAGAAAGGCTCTTTTAGAATATAGTATATTTCACAAGTTCTTAAACTATTTTCAAGGTCAGTTACTCACATGTACTCATCTTCATAGGCAATTTAAAGATTTTTTCTTTTTAAATGCTTAGAAATTGCTCAGCCAAAAAACTGAAATGAAATGTTTATTTAAGAAAATCCAAAGAAGCCCTCATATAATGGCCTACAAATCATGTTACCTGGAATGTTTTTTTAAGAATCATGCTGAAAACACTGTCAGTATAAAGACCAAAATCAGGTGGCTGAGTGCATATGCAGAATTCAGTATCTCAAGTAAAATACCACTAGCCTTCTGAATAGCAGAAGGTTGCTTTTAACAGTATTTAGGTGCTAAACACAAATAAAATGGAAATGGTGTTCACACATTTTCCCAAGGCTGTAGGGA